TTTGCTTGTGTATGTTTGTGGCTTTCGTGGCACGTGCGCGATGGTGGTGCAACGCGTTCATGTCAAGCAACGTCTTTTCCAACATGTGTTACCGCTGCGTTGCTTGCTTGTGTCTCGTTACATTCCATGACAGTACGTTTCATGACAGGACGTTTCTGCTGCTCGTTACCCAACTGGCGTCAACTTGAATGCAACAGAACATGGAGCAAGTGGTTGGGTGTGAACGCAACGGTGGCGAGTGGCGAGTTTGAATGAAAGCAGTAATGTAACCACACAGAGTGACATCCCACACACACACACACAGACAGGACAGAGGAAATGGCGTGACGTGGCGTGGACGACGAGAAAAATAACGCGAGAACAGAAGACTGGAACCACACTAAATCGTGAACACCACACTTGACTGAACAAGTGTTCAGATGTGGAGGAAGCCACGAAGCGAGGATGGGGAAGACAAAATGCGATGAGGAAAGAAAGAAAAGAAACTCAACCCAAACACACATGTAACGAAACCCAAACACACATGCAACCCAACCCGAGCACGCATGCAGGGGCCCTTCGGGCAGTGGAACGTCAGGCCATTTTCTTGGTGTTGGCCTTCTTGGAAGCGGGCTCCCCATTGTCGGTCTCGTCTTGTTGGCTGGCAGCGCGGTTACGTGGCGCCCCGTTTGCACGGCCTGTGAAGCAACGACAACGTGATCAATGGGTTGGTATTGTCAGGGTTGATGCGAGCATGAAAGGGCGTGTGGTGATGAGATAATGCGGGAAAAGGAGGCAGTGTGACAAAGACAGCAAGGCCTAAGCCAACGCGACAACGCGTGCTGCAGTGAATCACACACCAAATAACACGACACGAGAAGGGATGTGGGGAGGTGCACCGTACCGGCTGTGTGCATTTCACGCGATGGGCGCCGCTGGCTGGACGTGGACGTGCGCGGGGTCGCGTCTGTGTTGCGGCAGCGAGCAAGTAATTGTTGAAATGAGCGCCACACACAAGATGGGTGAGTTGAGTGACATCCACGGTGATGAGGATGAGAAGAGCAGCAACAGGCACACACACCCCGAACGAGGCCTGTGCCACCAGTGACGTACATAATGCAAAACACGACACCCACACACATGCACGTGCATACACACACATGCACATAACTACACGCACAAATGCACGTGCACACGCAAACACTACACACCTGAGCAGCTACCCTTTGGGGTAGTGTGCGTTGGTGAGGAAACCGCGGAGGACGGTGAAGACTTCTGGTCAAGCAGGTCATCATCATCACCATCATCATCATTGTCGCCATTGTCCCTGACAATGACAGCGTCTTCGGCAGTGTCCATGGACAGGTCGGCTGCTGTTGATGGCTGTGTGAACCGGTAGCGATAGCCAAACTCGTCCGTCACCACACTGCACACGTCCAAATAGTACTGAAGCGTCTTGGCGAGGCGCGCCTCGGCATTCTTGTAAGAGTCGAAGAACTGCACCGAGTCCACAAGAAGCGGGGAGATAAAGGCCATGTGCGATGATGCGTACACGCCTTGCTGGCAGGCAGTGTTGTTGAGGAGGAGCACCCGCTGCCTGTACGAGGTGGCGAGCTTGCTGAATTCGCGGACCTTGTAGTTGGTGCGGTGATTCTTGCTGAGGTTGTCGTGTGCAGTGTCGGAGGAGAGCGTGTACCAGGAGTGCTGGATGGTGGCCTGGGGTGACGTGGCCACGCTGCACACGCGCGGCTGCTCGCACGTTTGAAGCTGGGACTTGACAGCGTCTGGTGTCTCGGAAGAATCCAGTAGCGCAGAGATGATCAGCCCCTCTGCAGATCTGGACTTGAAGCCAAACGTGGGCTTGTCCTTGTCTGAAGACTTGGAGGACGCTTGCACTTGTCGATACATTTCAGGCTGGACATCGGAAAAAAACTCCAGAAACTCCACATACTCGTCGGCAGAGATTGTGCCCGCTTTCTTCATGCCTTTGGCAATGTCTTTGATGTTACGCGCAATGTGCTGCTGCTTGGCGATTGTCTGCTGTTCCTGCTCTGATTCGAGAAGGTGGCGGATTGCAATCAGCGCGCGGGAAAGCGTGCATGGCTGCGTGCGGCCCAGCTTGCAGGTCTCCTTGATCGTCTTCAGGCAGGCCATCGCACGCGCAAAGTACGGCAGCTTGAACCTGCGGAGCAGCCACTCGCCAATGAGCTTCATCAGGTCAATCACCCAGCTGCCAATGGGCACCTCGCTGCCCGTGAACTGCCCCTGCGGCCACAGGGAATCCATGAACTCCACCACCACCACGCTAGGGTCATCGCCAAACAGCTTTATCGCTTCCTCGCCGTCCCTCTCCATCACCACCAGCACCCAGAGAAAGTGGTGCGTGTGATCGCGCTTGGGTTCTCGCTTCAGCATCTTCAGCAACGACTTGCAGTCGCGGCGGTGGAAGGGGATGGAGCACGTGATGACGGGATCCGTGCAGACGCCGCGGTGCTGCGCATCAAGATACAGCTTGGTAAACTCTCGCACGCGGCGCTTGACTTCGTTTGATGCGGTGGCACCAACAACAGCCGTCGCTGTTGCATCAACAAGGCTCACGTCCTTGCTGGAGTCCTCCTCTGCCACGCCGATGTTGTCGATGCGAATACAGGGCGCGTGATCGCGGCTGTCCATGAACGCGACACGCAGCTCACGAAGGTCGTCGCACGCACCAAGCTGGTCCTTCTGCGCTTTCTCCTTGTCCTCGGCTTGCGGTAGTGTTTTGCGCCGCTGGCCGTCAACGGCGCCCCGCTTGAAGCATGGCCAGGTGTCTGCCACGCCCTTCTCGTCTTCTGGCGCCAGCTTGGCAAGGAGCTGGTTCGTGCCCCGAATGGCCGCGTTGACGCGCTTCTTGAACGTGCGGTGGGCCTCTGTGACCCCTTCTTCCTGCAGCCGCTGCGCCGTGTCCATGGCCAGCTGGAACTCCTCTCGCAACAGCTCCTGGAGCTGATCGTTGATGTGCTCCTCCACCACCTCCTTCCACAGCTGCGAGAAGGTTGCGGTGCGCACTTGACGCCGCCCGAACACGGACCTGATGATCTTGGCAACCTTGTCTTCCACAAACGCGTCCAGTGCCTCGTCGCTGGCATCGGCTGTTGCGGTGAATGAGCCCTTCATGTTCTTGGCCGCATTCTTGAGGGCCTTGGCCACCCGCTCCTGAACCGAGTACAGCTTCTGCTGCACGCCATCTTGAATCCGCTGCTTCTCTGCTTGCAGTGTCGTGGAGAACGTGTTTGCAAACTCCTTGGCGCGCTTCGTCTTGTGCTTCTTGATCTCATCGCTATCCTTCTTGCCAACGACCTTCTTCTTGAGAGAGGCTCGCAGCAGCTGGCACCACCCATCTGCTACATCTTCCAGCGTGCCATCAAAGAGGCTGTGAATGACTTGTGCCACTGCGTCACGTGTCTGCTCGGACACTGCCCACTGCCGCACGTCCTCCTTGCTGATGTGTGGCTGCCGGGCGAACCGTTGCTTCAGGTTGTGGCGCAAGATGCCAAACAGCCTGTCTTTAACAACGTCTGTCACAACATCCCACGCCTTCTCGCGTTTGTCGCGCAGCAGGCGCCGGAAGTCCGAAACAATCGGCTTGCACAATGCCTGCGCGAGCATGACACAAGCACAGCAAGAACGAAAGGTCAGAGTATGTCACAATGTGCGTGCGTGTGTGTGTGTGGGTGTGGGTGTGTGGGTGTGTGTGTGTGTGTGCGCGCGCGCGTGTGTGGGTGGGTGTGTGGGTGTGTGTGTGTGTGTAGACATGGCATGGAAAACTGTGGCTGTGGCTTTGTGCCGCTGACTACCCTACACACACACACACATACACACACATACACACACATACACACACATACACACACATACACACACATACACACGCACGCAGGCACGCGCGCACACACACATACACACACGCAACATCCACACCCATACACACCTCTGGAGTTGTGGAGGTCAACATGGAGACCATCTCCTTGTCGGGATCGGCCCAGCACGCGGCGCGCTTCAAGAACACGCACGAGCAGAAGAGAATTGCTCCCAAGCGCGGCATGACGACGTTGTGTTGCAGCTGATCAAAGAAGACCGGATCGCAAAGGTTGTTTGCGGGAGCCGCCTCTTCGTCACTCCACGCGCTACTGCAATCAGTAGTGGCCGTGGTGGCAGGGCACGCACGTGGCCAGACCAGCATCCCCGAGATCAGGTTCTCGAACAGCTGTGGTCGCAGGCCAAGGTCACGCACCTCTGGCAGGACATCTGGATCCATGCACAGCTCGCGTAGCTTGTCCGCGTACGCCTTTTTCTTGTCCTGGACCAGTTGCTGGAGCTGCTTGTCGCCGTCGCTGCTGTTGCCGCCATCATAGTCATCGCCGTAGTTGCTGTTGCTGTTGTCTTTGCCTTTTGGCAGGAGGGAGAACCACAGGACCGGATGGTGGTGCGGGTCAGCCACCGCGCCTTCTTCAAACAGGCGCTTCATCTCCACAAACTCGCGGCTGCTCGTCGTCGGGGCAATGACGTGGGCTGTGGCCATGGCGTGTCGAATCAGCGGGCTGAAGAGGTAGTCGTTGGACCAGCCAGGGGTGTCCCACACCACGACGTTGGGCGGAAGCTCCACCCACGGCGCTTGCACGTCGAGTGCGTACATGGCGCCGATGGCGGTGTCCAGCGCATCCTGTGCATACAGGCGCGAGAGGCGGTTGACAAAGCACACTTGCTCCTCTTCCGTGGCCTTCGGCCCGAGCTCTGCCAGGAGACGCGCAACAAAATGTTCCTTGTCCACACCACCGGGTGGGATCACGAACCGGAAGAGGGCATCCTGCACATCAAGCGTCTCTGGCACGGCTGCCCCATTGGTGTCGTTGATGGTGGTGATCCATGTCTTGATGCGCTCGATTCGCGTGATGATGGCGGCATCGTCGGCGCGTGTGGCGAGAAGCTCCTGCTGTGCCCTCTGCAGGGATTCAAGCTGGCGCCTGATGACGGCGATCGGCAGTCGGGCCAGCTGAACCTTGAATGCCTCGTCGCGCCGCAGACGCTGTACCCCAAGCGACTGGTGCTCCTGTGCCAAACCAGAGTGCCATGGAAGCTGGCCATGGCCTTGGGGGTAGCACTCCTGGTTCACGCGGCGAGACTTGCTGCCACCGGTTGGCCCAACAAACGCAATGTGAATGGGAGTGGAGATGAGGTCGTCGAACTTGTCCTTGCTGTCGCGCAGTGGCCGTACCAGGTCCTCTGGCGTTTCCGGAATCTGCTTCTCGAGGTCTGAAGCAATGTCCTCGGCGCGGCTGAAGTGAGCCTCCACGCTGGAGATGACCTCTTTGGCTGAAATGAACCACCAACGCAGATAGAAACGCAGGGCAACGCAGACAATGTGGGGAAGAGGACGCAGTGATGGTGTTGACATCGATCATGAGTTGTGGTGAGGCATCAGGGGTGTTGCGTTTGTGTGTGTGTATGTGTGTGTGTATGTGCTGCTTTGTTTTGAATGTGGATGTGCTGTGTTGTGTGTGTGTGTGTGTGTGTGTGTGTGTGTGTGTGTGTGTGTGTGTGTGTGTGTGTGTGTGTGTGTGGATGTGTGGATGTGTGGATGTGTGTGTGGTGCCCTCAGTGTGTGAATGTATGTGAATGGGGAGGTGTGCTGCAGAAGCAAAAGAGGGCTAGGATCCTGAGCAAACGCTTGAGGTGAGCTCCAAGCAGTGTCACTGACCGCTAAGAGGGCCCTTGGGCTGCTGGGACGCAGAAGTAGAAGATGCACTTGTGCTGCGTCGCTTCTTCTGGGTTGGTGTTTGAGTTGGCGTTTGAGTGCAACTGCCGGCAACGCTGCCATCATCGTCATCATCATCATCGTCGTCGTCGTCGTCGTCGTCTTCATCGTCGTCGTAGTTGCACGAGCGGCCTGAGGCAACCACTGTTGCCACATAGTGCGTTTCGGCGTAGTGGCCAACAACGATGGACGGCTGGTTTGGGGCAGGATCCAGCGGGCGAATGACAAACTGGTGGCCGTCGGGGAGGGATGAGACGACGCTGATGGGCCGTTCAAAAACGTTGGCGGCAGCGATGAGGGTGAGGTGGTCGCCCCACGTGGCAGGCTGCTCCATCATGGTGCAGTACTCGTCCCAGTTGCTCGGGCCGGTGGGGTCGTCAAAGGCAACGAAAGATTCCAGCGTGGTGGCACCGGCTTCGCCCGCTGAGTAGTCGCGGTTGTCCCGCAGCCACTTGACAACTCGACGACGCACTTCGGCAGCGTCCATGTTGGGGATGGCGAATGCAATGGCGTGGAACAGGCAGTTGCCGTCTGCTTTGGTTTTGATCTCCTCACGTCCAAGGTCGCGGAGGCGATGTCGCATGGTGGTGTGCATCGCAGATTCCTGCACTGAGCCGGTCCCTTGTTGATGTTGCAGTGCAACGAGGAACTCTTCGATGCCGGAAGGGATGCTGGCAGCCGCCATGTTGGTGTTGTTGCTGTCCATCTTGCTGGAAGAGAGGGCCGTGGAGAGGGAGAGGTGGAATGTGAACCGTGGAGGAGGAGGTGGAGAGAGACGTGGGCAGGGGCGTCAAGACGGAGACGATGGGAGCACGTGGACGTGGAGATGGAGACTTGAGCGGAGGGGCTTGGAGAGAAAGGCTTGGAAGGACAAAGAGGGAGACTTGATGAGAGCCGTGTGGAGAGGAGACGGAGGCTTGGAGAGAGATGGGGAGAGACTTGAAGAAGGAGACTTGGGTAGAGTCGTGGAGATGGAGACGTTGGGAGCACGGAGACGTTGGGACGGAGGCTTGGAGATGGAGAGAGACTTGAAGAAGGAGACTTGGGGAAAGAGGCTTGGAGATGGCAGGACCGAGGATCTGCGCTGATGTGAGGCTGGGTCTGGCTGGGAGGCTTGGGGTCTGGGGAAAGGGGGGGGGATCCAAGTGGAGGTGAGGTGCGAAGTTGGTGTAAGGTGGCGTGAGTGCTGAAGTGCTGAGGGAGACGCAGGATGAGAACGGGAACGAAACAGGAGCAGCAGTGCGATCGACGTCGTGGCTTGTTTGGTTGTTGGTTGCTGAAAAAAAAATGACCAGCCTCGGTGCATGCGTGTGTGTTTTTGTGTGTGCGCAAGACACCACAAAGGAGGCTAACTTACATGAGCGGCGTGTGCGGACACTGCGGACACTGCGGACACACACGATCTGTTTGTGGACACACTGGCTGGTTTGCGGACAGACAACAGTGGTGGCCCGCAAAACAGCAAACGCCGACAGCACAAAAGTATGATAACTGTCGGTGGAAAATTGTATGAAGGTATTCATGTATTCTCCCAATCCAAGCCAAAAATACAACCACACCAACCAAACAACCAAACAACCAACAACAACCACACGACCACGACCAAACCACACCAACCCGAAGATGGCTGATCCAAGGCTGCGGCAGATCAAGATCAAGACGGGCGTGGTGAAGCGCCTGGGGAAGGAACGCGAGGTGAACCTGAAGGAGATTGCACAGCAGGAAAA